TCTTTTTGTGCGTGCAAAATATTTAAAAAAATTGGTGGAAAACATATTTTTTCCAGACAAGTTTTCATTATTTAGCTAGCCGATTTAACAACAAGGTAAATGCGAGGTATACTTTTCCCCACCTGTCGCAAAACGCTCTATTTATTTGGGGTATTCAGATCTAGTTTTTGAGAGCGGACCTACAATGAACTTTGATCTGATAAAATTGTACATCCGTCACTGATTTGATGGTTTCAAGGAGGTTTCAAGCTTTTAAACAAAAAATTATTTTCCATTAATGTGATGATATAGCTATTGCATGAGAAGTCCATTTCAATAGGCATTGTTGGGTACGTGCCTTATCCCTCGGTCATACATGCCATTACGAACTGCTACGAACGCCGTACGAACGATTTTCAGACAATGGAAATTCGGGAAGACAATGGAAAAACAGGGAGATTCGTACGAAATAATCGTTCGTACGAACCTTTGTGACCGTAGCATAAAAAGGGTCTATGCCTAGCCCTTGCCACATAGCAGCGAATATAGAGGCTGGATTTACAGTAGAGTTTTATCTTTTGGGAGTAAAGATTTTCCCTGATGCTAGGAAAAGTAGTCAAATTGACCCCCATCAACAACAATGTGTTCATATCAACTCTCCCGTTAACTGTAGGCTAATGTATTTAATATTAAATTCTCAGTTTGCTCCAATGCATCTTTTCATTCAGGACAGTTCTCAAATTGATGTTGACAGCATATAGGCCGTCCAAAAAGAAGCAGATTCTATATCGAATAGTACACAAATTGACATTCATCCTTTATGTAAGTTGTATGGCGACCTTACAACCCTGAGGATACGTTATTTGAGGTCAATGTGTAATGCTGGCTATTGCATGAGAAGTTAATTTCAATAGGCATTGTTGGGTACCGGCCTGCCTTCAAAGGATCTATGCTTTTGCCAAATAGCAGCGAGTATAGAGGCTGGATTTACAGAAGAGTTTTTTCATTTTTTCTTTCGGGAGTCGGGCACTTATATGGTGCATAGTATGAATATCCCTTCAATCTCAAGGGCTCAAAGGATGGGGGGGGGGGGCAGGATTCCCCAAATTTCTATGAACAAATTATACCCCAGAGAGACAAGGAGAGAAAAAAAACTTCTTCACATTTGGTCATTATCCTCAGTAGGGTGTGGGGCGTCCGTTTCGCCCATCCATTATCTAGCCTATATAGCTCACCTTTAACCTAGAAAGTACGAGTCATGGGCGATATTTTACACACGACACTGATTTGAGTAGGCTTTCATTATTTGTTTATGAAACAAGAAAGAAGGCCGGCTGCAAAGCGTCTTTCTTTCTGAACAACCGATTATCACCGTTCTTCAGAAATGTATACCGGAGTATATGAATAGGGCTTGTTATCAAACATTCAAACACAACTCTCCGCCAAGGCCAAATATCATGCTTAGTATTTGAGTTTATTGCCACTACCACACAATTGAATTTTATAAGAAAATTCTTCATATATAAAATCAGAGTAATGCCCTTTTCCGTTCCTTTCCAAAAATTTGCCCATGCATACAAGGACAATATCTTGTGAAAAGGAGAGGCTTATATCTTTTTCCAGTGAAGGGTTATAGCAACCCAAAGTAATAGTAATTTGATTTCAACAAAAACGAAAATTTGTGCCCATATGTGTATTTTTTGTATGTATAATTATACAGTATTTGTATTGGGGACGTGTTTGGTGTGCCTAATTCGATTTTGATAGATTAGTTTTAAATAAAAACTCAAATCACCATGGGTTTTGTGTCATAAATTACCTTCAAATTGATATCAATTTCATCGAGTTATGTAGTGCGTAAATACATATTTTGAGCCGAAAAGGTGTTTGACGAACCCCCCCCCCCCCTATTTTTGGCCAGTATAGATAGATAATTTTATTGATCCATATTCAAAACATAGAAAATTGGCCTCCACTGGCAGCACATAAACAAAATACAAAGTAGTTACAAAATAATTGACACTTAGGTGTATACGTCACATAATGTACATACATTCACACGAAATCATGACATTAACAAAAAAGCATAAGTATAAATTACATAGTCATGGGGAAAACTTAAGAAAGGAGTCGACATTTAAAGATTGAGAAGGGAGAAAAGGGTCGTAAGGAGACTAGATGAAGAGCAAAAAAAGTAAGAGAGAGAGAGAGAGAGGGGGGAGGGGGAGAGGGGAGAGAGAGAGAGGGGGAGAGAGACAGAGAGGGAGGGGAGAGATAGACAGAGAGATAGAGAGAGAAGGGAGAGAGAGAGAGAGAGAGAGAGAGAGAGAGAGATATAAATAGAGGGAAGGGAAAGAAAAGGAAAATAAAGGAGGCGAGTTGTACACGATACACGACACACGACGGTATATGAACTGGAAGATAGTGATTGGACATTTAGTAACGCAGAAAGTTCAACGGATTAGGAGTACTGAGTGCAATTGCAATTGTCAGAATGCCCATAAGACTGACACGATGGCTTTGTTATTCCTCAAGTTATTTTTAAGAAGACCATACAGAATGCTGAATATTTATGTGGTGTAAATTCTTTTCAATAAATGTGGATATAAAGTCAAAAGCCAAAATGTTTTTTTTTTTTTTATTATTGTAGAAAAAGCAAGTCGGAACAAACTTCATTTTACGTATCAGAATTGCCCCTGAAGACTTATTTCTATGGTTTTACACCTTTAATTTTGTTTTTGTATAAATTTTTAATTTCGTTAATATAGCTGATACTTTTCTTCTTTAAAGAAAAAAGAAACATTTGCTAAGTTGTTAGATACATGTACTTGGACAGCCTATTGCAGTAATACTTACATGTTTTATTTTGAAGGCAGAATGAGCGATTTGAAACGCTCATCGTAATCGCAGTTCCACGGTGTACGGCATGATTCTGGCTCTGCAGCTGGATTCGCAAACCTGCACTGCGCGTGCTACGTTGTACGTTGACCCCTTTTAAACGCGTTTAATGATTGTGCGTTTCCCCAGAATCGCCGATCCAAAACGGATCGTTTTGTGAGTTTACGATCGGCGATTACGATCGCCGTTCTTCGGTGATTCTACAAAAATAAGAAAGGACGCAACCGTGTTTTGAACTAAACGCGTAACAAATGCCTCATTCTGTCCAGAAAAAGTTGAACATAAACGTATACAAAAAGCAATGTGTACATAGATTTCCTTCTATTGTATCTTGTATGCTTTATCTAACAACACTAAACAACCCACAGTGGTTGTTTTTGAAATTTGTATTGCAAACTCAGCATGTTATCTCAAAGACACCAAATGTCATCCTGGCTATTTTTCAACCCAGTTGTGGCTGGCCTGGGGGCACTCGTATTTAAAAAGGTTCATTATTCTGAGGGAAAATAATTGTGAACACCCAGACTTGTTATACAATGTACCATTGTGTTCATTACTCTTAAGGTGAAAGAAGGTTCAACACTCCGAAAGCTTAGTGTATTGCTCCGAAGGGTTTGGCGTGGGGAATGAATTTTCCATTTTCATTTCTGAATTTTTCCCGCACGGGAATCACTCAGGCCTTCTTGGGGTTCTGAAAAGGAGGGGTTCGTAGACCAGTATGTTACCCCTAGCCTCAGGCGCGTACGCAGGGGGGGGGGGGGGGGGGGGGGGGTTGTGGTGAAACCCCCCTTGAGTTTTTTAAGTGTATGTTTTTTGGGAACCCCCCCCTTTTAATTTGTTTTAAAATTTAAAAACAAAAACAAAAAATTTATGCCAATGGCATACCTCCCCCCCCCCCCCCAAACGGAACAAAATGTCAATTTTTCAAATTTCAAGACCAAAAAAAAGAGTGTCCTCTTACCCCCCCCCCCCCTTGAAAAAATCCTGCGTACGCCACTGCCTAGCCTTAACTACTATTAGTAATCCAACAATCGGAAAATACTTTTGTTTAATCATATGAACAATGTGTGGACCATGTATTTTTCCCGACAATTTTTCATTACTTAGCTAGCCGATTTCACAACAAAGGCATGCGAAGTATACTCCCCCCACCTGTCTCAAAACGCTTTATTCATTTGAAACATTAATTAGAGCTCACATAATACCAGCTCTGAGCTGCCCAAACTGTTCATCCGTCACTGATGTTATCATTGAACAACAAGTTTCACAATTTAAACATTCAGGATGTTTCAAGGCTTCAAGCTATTTGTTTAAATATTCGTTTTCGTTATAATGTGATGGCAGGTTTTGTATGAGAAATCAATTTCAATAGGCAGCGTTGTGTACAAAGGATCTATGTCGAACCCCTGCCACATAGCAGCGAATAGACCTAACTTATGCCTTGATTTACAGGATTTGTTTTTCTTCTTTCAGAAGTAGGGCACTTATGTGGTGCTAGTATGAACTATGCTATGTTACCGGAAAATTATGCGACTCACATAATATTGGTTTGATAACATTGCTGCCCATAGCCAAATACGACAAAGAAAAACACTTTATCAGAAACTGAAGAACATCGTTCAATTTTACGATGTAAACAAAATATAATTTTGATACGAGTAATAATATTTAAATCACCATCAATCGAAATTTTCGAATCTTCTTTAACTCCTTTGTGTTTCTAAACAAACGAAAGGTAATGAATATGTTATGATATGAAAAACTCGTCGATGGATGCTATTAAACTAATCCTCTTTCTTATACGTGGGATTGATATACAAAAGGACGTCAAACATTGGTTTCAAATTCGCCTCGATATCCGAACTGTGATCACTTTGTATTTAACTCTGACGGAATGATGTTCTTGGAAGGGATTACGAAACTTCTTCAGTAACATTTTTTAATTGGAGGAAAATGTCCTATTTTGGATTTCCAAGCAATGATGGTACCTCTTTGTCCAAGCGTTTATACCCAATATTTATAAGATTACACTTCTCGTCTGATCAGAGCCATGTAGAAGGGTGGTAACTCTGAATTCATGCCCTTCTGGATAAAAGCAGTCGTTTAATGTCATCTTTCTACAGGGGCATAATGATGACTAGCTTGGGGAACGGCGGCCATCGGAATAGTTATGGCGCCTTGAAGGAAGAGACGATGGCAGAAAGCGAGGAGAATCCCATCAATGCCCAAAGACAGGTTCTACTGAAAGGAGCCAAGGCGAGACTGATCTTCGCCCTCTCTCTTTGTACCCTCATCGTGATAGCTGAAATTATAGGTAAGAGCTATTCGTATTGTTAATGTTACAAGACAATTGACTAAAAAGTGCGAGAGGTAAAATGTCAGAGGTAAACATTTCAGATACCACATTTTCCCCGAATCGATCTGACTTTCAAGGATGGCGCAATGATGGCGCCAAACGTGTTGCTCTATCACAACATTGAGTAGGCCAACGTAGTCACTGTATTCGACAAACGATTTTGAAATAGGGCAAATTCTATACCTTTTATTGTACTACCAAGCACTTATTAATATCTGAATGAACCATTATACTATTCCATTTATTCTTATTCAAAGCTTAAAGGGATAGTTGAGTTCTGTTGCAGAGGGCGATACACAAAATTTTTTTTTTTAGATAATGAAAAAATGAGTGTCAAATTTGAAAGAACTTAATATTTAAATGACAAAATCATCTTTGTTTGATCAAAATCGGTTCAGAGACGGCTGAAATATAACGATTTATAATACTTGTGTACCACCACAAATAATTGACATTTTGACAAATTTGAAAAAACCGTTGAAAAAACGAAATAACGCCTTTTACGTCGTATTTCAGCCAATGCCGATGTTGGCTTTTTTGTTGGCAATTCCGTGTTGCTTAGATTACCCACAATTAGCCGGCTCATGTATTGTTGTTTTTAATTAATAATTAATTAACGGTCACCGTATTTTTTTTAAAGTGGAGCTGAATTGGTATGATCGTATTGGCTAAATTTTACACATTTTGGGGTCTAAAATTACCTTCATAGCAATTTTAGGTTCTAAAAGGGCACTATAAATGTCATAGATAAGAATAAGAGCAATAACCATGTACTTTGAAGGCATTTGCGGTCTGAAAACAGAACTCAACTATCCATTTAACTGCTTAATGGGCATAATCGCTTATATTGAATTTTCATTTCTAAAAGGAATTTTCGTAAGATACAAAGCGCATAAAACAGACATTCTTACAAACAAACGAAGAGAACATTGTCATGCGAAGCTCATGTTAGGTACAAACAACAAGAAGAAAGAGAAATATTAAAACTAGAAAAGACGTATTTCAGACACTTCTTGAAAGCTGCGAGAGTATGGCAATTCTTTTTTTTTTGGCCGGGGGGGGGGCACGCCCCTGTTTTTCAGTACATTTTGGGAAAATTTAGGACTGATTTTAACGTATTTTTGGGGCCGGGGGGCACGTACCCCCTGTGCCCCCTGGATCCGCCACTGCCATTGACTAATTCTTTTCGTTTCATTATAAAATCCTTTCTTCCCTTTTCAGGTAGTATTTTATCTGGAAGTTTAGCCATCATGTCTGACGCAGGTCATCTTCTTACCGATATTGTCACCTACATCATCAGTCTTACCTCAATCTGGCTTGCAAAGAAACCGCCTTCCAAGAATTTCACTTACGGGTTGCTACGTGCTGGTAAGTAAAAACAGATTTTCAACTTTTAATATTTTCCATGCAAGTCTGTTTTATTCTTTAATCAAAGAGATGCACATAATACCTTTTCGAAACCTCTGCTCACGTTTATTGTGAGCTCATTTGCTTTTAATCGTCATAGTTCATGCCAAACAAAGTGATTTTAACCGTTATTAGTTATCTCAATATCAAAAAAGTGATTTTTGTTTTGTATTTTTGGTATATAGGCCTATTGCGCATTTGAGAACAATAGTCACTTCAGGTATCAACAAAATAGTCACTGACAGTTGGTCACACCAGCAGTCCCTGATGTAAGGAGAGCCCCGAGTAGGCCAATCAAGTTCTCTGCAGCTCAAAGAATTTTATGTTTTCCTAATCTACTTTACAACAAAAGTAAGAAAACCTTTCTTACACTCTTACACATGTAGCATAAGAGCATGGAGCAAACGATGTGAGAAAGAAGAAAAGTACACTTATATCTGAGAAAACGACATTCATTTTTGATATATTCTGTATTCGATTTATTTAGACAGGGTATTAAAACTATTTTCCTGAGAGGCCATGGCAAAAACGCAAAGACGAAGTCTATTATTTCATATCCAATATACCCTTCAGCTTAAAACCTGGTATTTACCCCAAGTCAAAAGTTTTGGTCTACATTACATTTTAACATGAATTCTTCTTGATTTTCTAGAGGTCGTCGGGGCTCTGTTTTCGATTATCCTGTCCGTCTGTCTCGCGGTCGTTCTCACCTATTTTGCCGCTTTGAGGATCGCCCACCGGGACTTCGAGATCGATGGCAAGGTTATGCTTATCATCAGCGTCATCAACTTCCTCGGAAATATTATGTAAGTACTTGTAACTTTGAGGCCAAAGTCACACTTTGCTAACCGGCAGCCGTTATCAGGGGACTATGCATATCCTCCGTTAAAGGTACTATGTGCTACTATGTACTAAGGTTAAATTCCACCGTCATTTGAAAAATAATACTAATTTATAAATTCCTTCAAAACGAAAGGGCTTGAAAATGTCTTTTTGTGCGAAATAGCTACCGTTAGATGTCGACCCGACTTTAAGGATTGCAATCCTTTCAGTAAATAGTCTGATTTTCAGACCCTTGTACCAAAGGATCTTACGTTTTGTGCTGCGCAAAGGTTAAATAAGTTTGAATTTGGCCATTATAAGAAATGGGTTATTGATGTAGACAAATGCTCATGTACCCTTTACAGCTCATTTTATGTATGTTATTACCAATAAAAAATGAGGTCAATCAGTCACTCAATAGTGTCTGACAGTAAAGACTAGAAAGTAAACGGGTTTCCTTGCATATCATGAAAACTAGGACTCTACAAACGTTTAAATTTCACAGATAGGACATACGTGGCATAGGCCTTTTCATAATTTGTGCATAGTTCTACAGAATTTGATGTTGGCTACACAAGAAAGCATACAAAATCAGAGCAGATTATTGAAAGTTTGAACAAAATCGGACAATGTCACAATGCGTGTTCAGATGCGGAACTTTTCTCGTTAACGGAGGACATCAGTTGTCTTCCTAAAACGTCTGTCTCACTAATAAGGGTTCATCTCTTTAGCGAAGCACAACAATTTACTGCAATCTCTAGTTCTCTATCTCACTACGATAGCAATATAACCTGAACCATCAGGATTTAGCATTTGTGGATTAAGTCCGAGGTTTTGGAGGTTCTGAGTCATGCTGGTTCGTTTTCAGTTATTATTTCATTTTTCTATCATAAACTACATTGCTTGTGTATATTGAACCCGTCTCTGTTAATTACATGCTTACCTATGCACGCAGACAGATTTTCCAGCTCCAGTTCGGGTTCTGCTGCTGTGCAAGTCTATGTGGCGAGGAAGAGGAAGGTCTTCTTCCCAGCGGGCACGGGCACAGCCATGGGGGCGGGCACGGTCACAGCCATGGCTCCCTTTTCGGCGGTGGGAGCAAGGATAATGAAGTCAACGATCACATGAATGTACGAGCCGCATGTCTGCACATTATTGGCGATTCTCTTTTTGGGTTCGGGCTCATGGTGGGCGCCTTAATCATCTACTTTAAGGCAAGTATTATCACCACCCTTGGTAATTGGACTTGTCTCACTATAGTCTCATAATTTCACACTCGTGTTCTACTAGATCAAGCCCTGACTAGATCAAGGCATAATTTATAAGAGAGAGCTCCTGACTCGATCTCCTCGGTTCGATCCCTCCTCTGTCCTTACACCCTTCAACAAGATTCAAGATTTGACCCACATTCGGCCAAAAGATCAATTGTGTACCTCCCACTCAGACGACGAACGTTCGAGTGCACTAGAGCGTAACACCAAGGTACCTGACTCGTCGATTTTTATGAAATAGGGGTTTATCGTAGAAAACTGGTGAGAGTGTAAATGTCAACACCGCTGTGTGAGCGTGACTTGTCAACTCTCTCTTCCCTCTTTTTCTCCCGAAGAAAAGAAAACAAATCAGGAAATTATATATGTTAGTCTAGTAGATGCAGATGCACATCACAATGCATAAGTCCATTGTCATCCCTCCGTCTAAGATGGGCGGGATCACCCTGCAATATGAATACACGATTCCTTCACTAGCAGATCGACCATGAATATTTAGATCTGCTCATAAAGCGAGTTCAGAGTGACATTCATTTGCTAATTTCAGGAAAACTAAGAATTCAGTGTCTCGTGAGCAGGGGCGTACGCAGGGGGGGGGGGGGGGTGGGGGGTTTGGGGGTTCAAACCCCCCCCCCTTTGGTATTTTTATGTGTGTAAACCCCCCTAAAAAAACCCAAAACCCCCCCCCCCCCCCCCCTTTGGGTTTTTTTTTTTTTTTTTTTTTTAATTATTAAAAAAAAAAAAAAAAGTAGGTGACATTACCCCCCCCCCCCCCCAACGAAGAAAAATGTCAAATTTTGAAATTTCGAGACCAAAAAAAAAAAAAAGTGTCCGCTTGCCCCCCCCCCCCCCCCCCCCCCCCCCCCCCCCCCCCCCCACTGAGCGACTTTTCGGCTGGCTGAGTCGTTGCGATTTTTTTTGGACTCCAAAAAAAAAAAAAAAAAGTGACCGCTTACCCCCCCCCCCCCCCCCCCCCCCCACTGAGCGACTTTTCGGCCGGCGCGATTTTCAAATTTTCGGGAGCAAACCCCCCCCCCCCCCCTTGAAAAAATCCTGCGTACGCCCCTGCTCGTGAGAGATATAATCTAATCCCTACACACCTTTTTTTGTAAATGATCGTCCAAAATATCCAAATTCCCTTCAGTAAATTGCTGAAATCAACATAAAATGTATCTTTTTCATCGCCGCGGAGCTGAGTCAAATTTGGTGGTAAATTTTTATTACGGAGGTCGATGCGTAAATTTACGAAAGCTTCTTTTTATTGGATTGAAATTGGCCCTAATTTCTCGACAACCAATCAAATTATGTGTTACATCAGACGGCAGGGGATTATATACTCTATGTTTTGGCATCCGAGACCACCCAATAACAAGTAGTAGTTACGAGCATTATCTCCTTGAAGTACACAACCCCATTGAAAAAGGCGAATTTTCCTGTGACCTCCATAGAGAAATCACAAATTGAATGATTGTTGTCCATTTTTTAAGACGAAAAGGCCCTATTTTCCAGTATACAAATCAGTTCGATATTGGTATCAGTGGAAAGAACAATATTTGAATATGTGATTTCCACCCGAGATGGTGTGTAACCAAAGTTTGTTTTCCTTGTAGGAGCATTTCTTTGCACACTTAGCGCATTTCCAAAGACGATTTCATGTGTTGTAGACCGCGGAGCGAGACCATGACTTGTGAGCAGATGCCCGAAATTTGTTCATATGAAAAAGTCCAAAGACTAAAAGTGCAAGTTTACATCAAACATACAATCATATGAAAAGAGCATTAAAAAACATATATTTATATATTTAAAGAAAACATAGGCGTTATTGTATTGACGAAGGCTCTTGGCTCTCATACGAGAAGTCCTCGGTTCGATCCCTCCTCTGTCCTTACATCCTTCAGCAAGGTGCTATTGTGTTGACGAAGGCTCTTGGCTCTCATACGAGAAGTCCTCGGTTCGATCCCTCCTCTCTCCTTCCATCCTTCAACAAAGCGCAATTGTATTAGTGAAGGCTCTTGGGTCTCATACGGGAAGTCATCGGTTCGATCCCTCCTCTGTCCTTTCATCCTTCAACAAGACGCTGTTGTATTAGTGAAGGCTCTTAGCTCTCATACGAGAAGTCCTCGGTTCGATCCCTCCTCTGTCCTTACATCTTTCAACAAGGCGCCACTGTATTGACGAAGGCTCTTAGCTCTCATACGAGAAGTCCTCGGTTCGATCCCTCCTCTGTCCTTACATCTTTCAACAAGGCGCTATTGTATTGACGAAGGCTCTTAGCTCTCATACGAGAAGTCCTCGGTTCGATCCCTCCTCTGTCCTTACATCTTTCAACAAGCGCTATTGTATTGACGAAGGCTCTTAGCTCTCATACGAGAAGTCCTCGGTTCGACCCCTTCTCTGCCCTTACATCCTTCAGCAAGGCGCTATTGTGTTGACGAAGGCTCTTAGCTCTCATACGAGAAGTCCTCGGTTCGATCCCTCCTCTGTCCTTACATCTTTCAACAAGGCGCTATTGTATTGACGAAGGCTCTTGGGTCTCATACGGGAAGTCCTCGGTTCGATCCCTCCTCTGTCCTTTCATCCTTCAACAAGGCGCTATTGTGTTGACGAAGGCTCTTAGCTCTCATACGAGAAGTCCTCGGTTCGATCCCTCCTCTGTCCTTACATCTTTCAACAAGGCGCCACTGTATTGACGAAGGCTCTTAGCTCTCATACGAGAAGTCCTCGGTTCGATCCCTCCTCTGTCCTTACATCTTTCAACAAGGCGCTATTGTATTGACGAAGGCTCTTAGCTCTCATACGAGAAGTCCTCGGTTCGATCCCTCCTCTGTCCTTACATCTTTCAACAAGGCGCTATTGTATTGACGAAGGCTCTTAGCTCTCATACGAGAAGTCCTCGGTTCGACCCCTTCTCTGCCCTTACATCCTTCAGCAAGGCGCTATTGTGTTGACGAAGGCTCTTAGCTCTCATACGAGAAGTCCTCGGTTCGATCCCTCCTCTGTCCTTACATCTTTCAACAAGGCGCTATTGTATTGACGAAGGCTCTTGGGTCTCATACGGGAAGTCCTCGGTTCGATCCCTCCTCTGTCCTTTCATCCTTCAACAAGGCGCTATTGTGTTGACGAAGGCTCTTAGCTCTCATACGAGAAGTCCTCGGTTCGATCCCTCCTCTGTCCTTACATCTTTCAACAAGGCGCCACTGTATTGACGAAGGCTCTTAGCTCTCATACGAGAAGTCCTCGGTTCGATCCCTCCTCTGTCCTTACATCTTTCAACAAGGCGCTATTGTATTGACGAAGGCTCTTAGCTCTCATACGAGAAGTCCTCGGTTCGATCCCTCCTCTGTCCTTACATCTTTCAACAAGGCGCCACTGTATTGACGAAGGCTCTTAGCTCTCATACGAGAAGTCCTCGGTTCGATCCCTCCTCTGTCCTTACATCTTTCAACAAGGCGCTATTGTATTGACGAAGGCTCTTAGCTCTCATACGAGAAGTCCTCGGTTCGACCCCTTCTCTGCCCTTACATCCTTCAGCAAGGCGCTATTGTGTTGACGAAGGCTCTTAGCTCTCATACGAGAAGTCCTCGGTTCGATCCCTCCTCTGTCCTTACATCTTTCAACAAGGCGCTATTGTATTGACGAAGGCTCTTGGGTCTCATACGGGAAGTCATGGGTTCGATCCCTCCTCTGTCCTTACATCCTTCAACAAGGCGCTATTATATTAGTGAAGGCTCTTGGGTCTCATACGGGAAGTCCTCGGTTCGATCCCTCCTCTGTCCTTACATCCTTCAACAAGGCGCTATTATATTAGTGAAGGCTCTTGGGTCTCATACGGGAAGTCCTCGGTTCGATCTCTCCTCTGTCCTTTCATCCTTCAACAAGGCGCTATTATATTAGTGAAGGCTCTTGGGTCTCATACGGGTAGTCCTCGGTTCGATCCCTCCTCTGTCCTTAAATCCTTCAACAAGGCGCTATTTACCCTCATTATTTTGTTTCTCTTGACCCAGGTACATCAAATGAGTACCTAGCAATAATAATTATAAGGTTCCTGGAAATTTAGAGCAGAATTAATAGTGATGAGGTTAGCCTGGATAAAATAATACTATACAGTTATAGCTATCACACAAGGTTTGGAAATTAAATAAACCTTTTGGCCTTTCTGCTTATTTTAATCAAATGAATAATAAATGTCATGCCCCTACGTTTGGAAAATGTAAAAGCTCAACCATTTTTTTCATTGCTCATTTCCCCCCACTCTCTTTTCTCCCCCATCCACTTTTAGCCGGAGTATAAAATCTTAGACCCGATCCTGACTATCATCTTTGGTATCCTGGTACTTCTCACTCTCCTCGGTTTGTTCCGAGAATGTATTCATATACTCATGGCAGGTATGTAATGAGAAATCTGTAATTGCAGGATAATGTTAAAAAATGAACCTCCACCCCCCCCCCATCCCCCGTCATATTATACTCAATTAGTCAAACTTTTCATATTTTCATTTATAATCGTCAAGAGAAATTGTTTAAAACATAATTTATATGATTCAAGTGATGCTTAATAAATTCAATTATATTGTGAACACGATAGTAAAACCTTTCAAGGAATCATCTCAAGAAACATGTCAATATTTCCTTTTTGTATTGCTTAAAGAAATTTTTGGATTATATACCTTGTCTTTGTAATGTTCGCAAAGAGAAGGATATTGACAATATAATTCAATTTTTCGAAAGTCTTTCCGATTTTGTTGAAATGTAGGCTTTATAACACTGTACGCTGATACTTCGAGTAGGTGCAGCTCACTTTGGGTCTATTTCTTTTATGTTCAACAGATGGAAAACGGGGTAAATATGATCACAAATTTGGTCAACGCCCCTGCTTGCCAGATGGAAATGTCTGTTTTTTAATTTATTTGTTCGTTTGTTCGTTTGTTTGTTTGTTTACATTTTCTGTTTACAGTTTCAATTTTCGATCAACAGGTACACCGAGGGGCTTAGAATATGATGAAATTAAACAAAGGCTTGTTGAAATAGACGGAGTGGAGGGCGTACACTCGCTTAGAATGTGGTCTCTAACATCAGATGTGCACCTCATATGTGCCCATCTTGTTTCAGGTGAGCCTAATAGATTTACGTATACGTGTCGGTTGGAAATCTCTTGTTCACCAAATTTATGCCCCCTCCCGCCCCTAAATGGAAACAAACAAAATGCCTTCAAGCAAGAAACCCCTTTACAAAATCCACTCAGCACAAGTCAAATCCAGGAACGGTTCTTGAATTATATATATTGTATTATATTTATATATAATATATGTTTTTGTTTGGGGGCGGGTTCGGGATCTTTTTTTACAGGTTATATCAATATCAATATGCCACCATATGACAAAATACTACAACAAATCAAAGAAATCAAAGAAATTTCGTTTTAAGATTTTAACCCTATGCTATACGTATGAACTTTATAAACAAAGAATCGTACACCCAGTCAAAGGCCTACCTAGGTCCTCGATTTTGAAATGGTATACACCTATCATCATGTCAAAGACCAATTTTGAGTTGAGGATTATGGGCCATTGTTCTGCGTTTCGGGTTGTGGGGATAGGTTGGGAGTGGGGAGGGGGGGGGGTCGAAATTAGTACCTCCCAAGTCTTTGATACCCATTTGAACGTTCAAAGGATAACACATACAATCACGTAGATACAAAACAAGGAATTGATGCATTGTCCATAATGTTACATGTAGATAATGGAAATAATTTGTTCGCAATAAATTTATCCCTTTTCTTCTCTTTCTTAGAAATGTACAGTATATTGTCATTCCTGCAGCCTAATTAGCAGCAATGGAGTTAATCCTTTTTTTCCAATCATTTCTCTCCTTATCGTATATCCAGCTCGGTTTTACGACGGTCGGCCAATTGATGCGCCCAAGATACTGCTAGACGCTCGTCATATCCTAGAGACTCACTTCGGCGTCGTACATTCCACCATTCAGATAGAGACTGTGGAAGATGGAGTAGAATTCTTGTGTGCAAGAACTACCGGACCAAAATAAAGAAATACTCCACGTCGGTCGGTTGTAGGACAAAATAATGCAAGCTCCAGCAACGATTGCTCTACGTCAATTTTGTTCACTTACCGAATTCTGAATGTCAACACTGGACCAAACACTATTTGTAGCTTTCTTAAAACCCGTGCAACCCTTACCTAACTCTAACTTGTTAAATTTTTAAATTTGTGATATATCATATTCTCTCATTAATTTGTTTTGTATTGTAAACTGGACCCCTCGGTAGAACAGCTGTGCTGTACTAGCGCAGCTGAGCAGGGCGATCCATCCAATTTTATTTTCTCATGTTATCATGTATATTGTTATTTATGTTTTTATATTGGTAAATAAAAGAAAATCAAATCAAATCTAATTACACCTTGATTCATTGACGAAGTAAAGCCTGGAGCAATTGTTTCCGGAGCATATCCACGATCATTGAAACTTAAAATATACTGCTTATAATATACAAAATCCAAAGACAACCGCTTTAACGATTCAACTTTTGACTCACATTACTTTGTGACCGCATACGTCATTAGAATTGGACATGGAATTGGACATAACATATATAGGCCTATATGGAAGTCCCTGCCTTTGGAGAAAATGATTATTCACTCAGAGTTTGAATTCGAAGCGGCAAAATGCAATTTAATCATGGATATATTTCTCTCAAAATGTATATTATTTTTATGTACTCTCTCATAACAATGCATGTTTTAGGTCTACACCTGCTCAGTAATGGTACATGGAACCATATTTATTTGTATTCCCCCCCCCCCCCCCCCTCTCTCTCTCTCTCTCTCACTCTCTCTCTCTCTCTCTCTCTCTCTCTCACTCTCTCTCTCTCTCTCTCTCTCTCACTCTCTCTCTCTCTCTCTCTCTCACTCTCTCTCTCTCTCTCTCACTCTCTCTCTCTCTCTCTCTCACTCTCTCTCTCTCTCTCTCTCTCTCTCTCTCTCTCTCTTCAGTCTATATCTACCTTTCTTCCCTTCTCCTTGTTGCTGTATACTTCTACATCACCAGGAACCCCAAATTATGTTTGTATTTTTTATATCAAATTGTAATGGCTCACACGTCATCAAACTTTGCTTGTCTTGGAGTCCTTGCCACTCCTGTATAAAATAAGTTTATACTTTTCAAATGGATATGTTTAATGTAAAATTCATTTCTTATGTATATATTCAGAACTGTATGGATTGAAATGAAATGAATGAAATATAGGAGAAGATGGTGTAAGGTGAGTTCAGATACCCATAGCCACGATTGTCAAAATGAATATAATAGGTAAATAAAGATAAATAGTTTTGTATTAAAGCGCTTTTGTCAGGTACGCGTTGTAACCGGTAGGGTAGTATGCATGTACGTTATATTAAAATTGGAGGTAAGGATATATTTTTAAAAGAATGGTGTGATAAAGGTATTCGTTTTTAAACGATTTATTAGATGATCAAGGACACATCTTAGCAAGAGAAGAGTGTGAAAAAAAGTTTTCAATCAAAATACAGTTTCTTCATTATTATGCACTCTGTCAAATAATTAAATGCAAATACAAGTCCCAATTGGAAAGTTGTAATATGAAGGTAAATGGACCATTGTGCCCTGCATATATTTCATGCTTGTTGAAAGATGAAAAAGGATGTAGACATATTTATCAAATTATGTTAAAAGAAAAGGATGAACATTTGAATAAATTATGTAATAGATGGCATGCAGATGGTGTATTATTTGATGATAAATATATGCAATATTATTTCAGGGTTATGTTTCGCTGTACAACGCATACAACAGTTCGGTACTTTCAGTACAGACTTTGAATAAGATACTATATTTGAATAAAGATCTTGTGAAAATTAACATAATTTCAGATAATAAATGTTCCCTTTGTGGAAGAGAAGAAGAAGATATGGTACACTTTTTTTTACTCCTGTAACGTGACCAAATTGATTTGGAGTTGTTTGACTGACTGGTTAACTATTGTAACACGCTGTAGAATAAAACTGTCCTTAATACATGTTTTGTTAGGTTTCATTGAAAAAAGAAATGATGCTTTAAACTGTATAATAATTTGGACTAAACAACAAATATATTTTTCTCGAATACAAAAGTCTGTACCGTCCTTTCGGACAATAAAACAATATATCAAGAATAGTTACACAAATGAGAGGCAAGTTAGTATATTTGCTAACAAAACTGACAAATTCGATAAAAAATGGATACATTTTGAGAGGATTTTGATCCTTTAATAGGAGTATATTGAATTTCCCACATCATTTTCAGTCGTGATGTTGCATTGTTATTTAATTTTTGTTTTTCTTTCCCTAATCTACATGTATGTTCTGTATATACAGTATTATGGTTGATATTCGTTATGTATATCTTATTATGAAATATTATATGAAATTCATTGGAACATGTGTTCAAATATGTTATCTTGAGATTGATTTTCAATAAATGGCCTGTTGGAGGGTCCAAAAAATGGAGAAAAAAAATGTACGTTATATCGTATCCGGACACCTACCCCTGGACATCCACCCCCGGATAACCACCCAGTCAACTATCCCCTAGGACACCTACACCCTAGGACAACTACCCCCTAGGGCAACCACCCTCTAGGACGACTACCCCCCCCCCCCCGACAACTACTCCCTAGCACAACTACCCTCCGACAAATACCCCCAGACAACTACCCCTTACGACAACCATCCTCTAGGACAACTACCCTCCCAGCTCTTATAACATCTCTCTTTCCCTCGCCCCTCCTAGCTCTTCGCATACAAACAAAAACACAAACAAAACAAAACCAAAATTATACATAACAATAATACGCTCTAAAGTTTTCTTTTTATTACTTTTTTTTCTTCTTCTTGAATTACATTGTACATTATCTGTCATTGCGTGACACACTTTCACATGAGTTTATTCTGTGAACACAGACGCTAAGTAAACTAAATAAATTAAGACACAGAAAAAAGAACAATCAGACAAAAAGTAAAGGCTAACACATTACGACGCTATAAATTTCAACATGATGAATGACAGTCATTTTCGGGTAAAAGATGATTTTCTTCAAGGAACTAGGTTTCGGGAAGAAAAATAAGAAAGGGTGGGGAGAAGAGACCATGTACAAAAGGAGGCGATAAGAGTGATAAAAACATGGGATATAGAAATTGAAAGAGGGGGTGAGAGAGGAAGAGGTTGCTTTAAAAGCTACGCTATACATCAAACTTTGAGAGATTACAGTCTGAAGCCGAAATAAAAATGAATACCAACATTGATAGCAAAATTGATAGCAAACCAGAAAAATGAATTTGAAAAAAAAAAGTCATGATTTCAACATCTTTTTGGATTAACATATACAAATGAAGGTTTCGTAGTTACAAGGGTTCATTCACTAGACTCTTATTCCAAGGGTTGAGGGTTCGAATCTAAAGCCCGGCACTAACGTCATTTGGCAAGACATTAATCCACTTTTGCCACACTCCACCCAGGTGTAAATAGAAACATGGAAATCGCTGGGGTAATTGTTATTGCACGGCCTTCAGGATTGGTTGATTTTTTTTTCTTTAATTTTTGTCCCATTTCTTTTGAATTTTTCAACAAACTTGTTTTCACGATGTACTGTTTTCACACCATTCAATTGGTTGGTTTGCCCTTCAATGTTTCAGGTTTGATAAAAATCGACTCTTTGTTCATAATGTACAACTTTAATTAATCGTAAGAATCAATAATATCATTAAATAATGATGTACATTAAATCATGATGTACATTCAAGAACACATCCAGACTAAGGAATATTTATAACATTTAAATATTCAAATCCCTTAAAAAGACTTTGTAAAGAAGTTATATGAAAATAATATTTTTCTTCTATTTACAATTAAAACAATTATTGGCACTTTTGTATACTATACACTCTTAAAAGATGAAACATATTACCTGTAACAATATTGCTCTGAAATATTTTACTTTTACAGGTACTATCGGTTGGATGAGTAAAACACAGGGCAATTTTATATCATCAGGAATCAAACAAAATAATTAAAGAAAGGTTAAACCCCTGTGAAATACCACGTTTTGTGCAACAAATACCACGTTATGTGCAACAAATTATGTCCACAATTATCCTCACAAATAATCACAATTTCTTAAATTATGCTGAATTGAAGATCTCTAGTCAAACAATAGTTTATACATCATTGTATAACGAAACAGGGAAGGGAAGAAGAAAAAAATCGTACCTCCCTTTATGTAATAGTTTTGACATGTTGGGTAGTTATTTTTGTTGCTTGTCCAGCTTATTTTGTGTCCAAACCTATCGGGAAGTGTAGTCTACCATTAAAATGTCCAAACTGCTTTAAAAAATGCCTCACGGAGCAGAAATTACACGAGCCAGACCAAGTTTATCTAGTATAATAATGCCACTCGACCATTAGCCCGATGTTACAACACGATGTAGTAGGATATAGCACGAACTCGAACGACCTAGTCTGCTGTGAAATGACCGCGCTCTCATTGATATTGTGTTGTAGTGAGTCTAGACAGCGATTAGTTCACCTTATCCAGCTCGATAGATTTTCGTTCAGGGGTGGCAACCTTTCCATGTATCAGCTTCATAGCTCGTGGTACATCGTGGTAGCTCGTGGTAGCTCGTGGTACATCGTGTTGCAACATCATGAATATAAGAGAGATGGCTTAATGATAAATCACTAAAGGGCAAGTCCAGGGCTATCATGATAATGGTCTTTTAGATTCCCATAGAGGACCTCAAGGACGGGGTCTAAAAGTATACATTTTGGTCTCATCCAAGCTCTATAGGGCTTGCAAAACTTAAAACAATCATCGCATATTCTATTTGTTTAAAATGTGTTCGGTTACGCATGAGACAAAACAGCTTGGATTGCCATTATTTTGATTAAAGAAACACACACAACCAACTAAATTGATATATTCAATCCAGTTACACGTACATGTACAATACTGTACTAGGGGCATACACCTGTGAGAAAAGACCATTATGACACCCCTTAGCATATCGTATCCACCAAAAAGAGTATTACAATAATATTTGTTTAAAGTTGAAGATTTTTACAAGACCGTTTTACGTTTGAACACTGCATCTTTCTGAAAAAGAACAAATTTGTTTGTATTGTTTGTTTCTTTAAGGCCCGAATTCACAAAGCAAGGTTTGAGCTCAAACCTCCTTTTGTTCCGCCAAACCTCCTTTTGTTATTTACACCTTTGTAAATAACAAAAGGAGGTTTGGCGGAACGGTTTGTAAATAACAAAAGGAGGTTTGGCGGAACAAAAGGAGGTTTGAGCTCAAACCTTGCTTTGTGAATTCGGGCCTATCTGTCTGTCTGTCTGTCTGTTTTTTGTTTGTTTGAAGAGAGACAACGATCAGCAGGCGCGTACGCAGGATTTTTTTCAAGGGGGGGGGGTTAACATTTATAAATCGGGCCGAAAATTTTGCAACGACTCAGCCAGCCGCTGAATAAGCGGGAGGGGGGGGGGGGGTAAGAGGACACTTTTTTCTTCTTTTTTGGGGTCTCGAAATTTGAACATTTGACCAAAAAAAAAATCCAAAGGGAGGGGGGGGGGGTTTTAGGGGGGTGATGGGGGGGGGGGGGGGGGGGGGGGGGGGGGGGGTTTACACACATAAAAATACCAAAGGGGGGTTTAGCCCCCTAAACACCCCCCCCCCCCCCCCCCTGTGTACGAGCCTGACGATCAGTCAAACGAATCATCGTCTTTTATGTCAAGAAAGTGGACCCCTAGCTTGCATTATTGCACCACCCGGAAACTGGTCATTGGGACGCTGGGCCCCGTTTCATAACACTCATGACAAAGAAACACTGCAACATGATAAAAGTAGCTCAAAGCCAACCACATGCAGCAATATTTGGGTAGCGTACGTTAATACGAATGTTAAATCGTAGCGTATTGGAAAGAAAAAAAGATAGTTGTGACACGCGAATATACGCGTAGGTGAGCGCGGTCATAGTTTGAAATCATGGAGCTCCAAACAGATCAGAAGCGACTTCCGCTGTCACAACTATCACTATATCAACTAGCTATGGTTTTCATGAAACGGAGCCCTAATAGTTTGGACGAATGAATAGATTGGTCTCTACGCGGGTCCGGTAGTTCTTGCACATAGGAATTCTACTCCATCTTCCACAGTCTCTATCTGAATGGTGGAATGTACGACGCCGAAGTGAGTCTCCAGGATATGACGAGCGTCTCGGAGTATCTTGGGCGCATCAACTGGCCGACCGTCATAAAACCGAGCTGGATGTAGAATAAAGAGGCAAAATAAGTTGGAAAACTTGTTAACCAATGAAGTGCCGTTTACGTGGTATGGAGTTGAAATACACAGATGAATACTGCAAGAGCAACGTTTAAAGATTCATCGGGGGGGGGGGGGCGAGAAAATTCAAGAAAGAATAGAGAAAAGAAAGAAGAAGGGAAGTTAATCAGGGGAAAATGGAGAGAAAGACGAAACACGATTCTGATCGAATGAATATTTTCAATTTATTTATTAGTATTTATTTATTAGTATAATCTATCTCGTTGACTATGAACGTGTGAAGGTAAGAATGAAACGTCACAATATGTATTTGTTTGAATTATTGAGTTACACTAGCTCAAGAATGGTTGTTATTACATCTTCCAATGAAAGTGAGAAAAGCAACAACAAAAAAAGAAGAAGAAGAAACGTGTCTCGTCCCCACAAACGGCTTACTACCACCTTTCAAATTACGTTTATATTCTCACCTAAAATAAGATGGACGCATACAAGGGGAACATCTGAAGTTAGAGACCATATCCTGAGTGAATGCACGCCCTCAACTCCGTCTATTTCGACCAGCCTTCTCTTGGCTTCATCATAATCTACACCCGTCGGTTTACCTGGTAAATAGAAAGTGAAATGGTTTAAAAGAGAAGCCTTTCAATTCGGCCTATAGGCCTATACTAGGCATTGTGGCGTGCGCCTGTAATCCAGCTAACGATGGAAGTTGCAAACTGATTCAACCGAGGACACAGGTTCGAAACTGAGGGTGCGTTTAATCGACACTTTTTCACCCTAGAATCACGGTTTCTAAAGACGTTTAGTTTAAAACGCAATGCGTTCAAGCGATTTTTTCGTCGGTCGTAAAAATAAACGTGTTTGAAAACACAAACATGAAACGCTGAAAAAGAGGCGTTTTGTATCATGATTCTGCAGAATCACGGTCGCTAAAATTCGATTGAACGGACGGAGTTCTCAATCATGATTGTATGACGGAGCCTGTTCCGGTTTGGGCAAAAACCGCGCGCCTGTTTTTCATGCAATTTGCGTTTACTATACCATGCTCTTTATCATGGCCTGTTCTGTTAGATTATACCTTGTTTTCCTCTTTTTCTCTTTCTGTCTTTCCTTATGTTATTCTTTGTTTCTTCCTTCTATCACCTTCTCCTATGTTATTCTTTGTTTTTTATAATTCTATCACTTTCTCTTTCTGTCTTTCCTTATGTTATTCTTTGTTCCTTCCTTCTATCACCTTCTCTTATGTTATTCTTTGTTTTTATAATTCTATCACTTTCTCTTTTGTCATTCTTTGTTTCTTCTTCCTTCTATTCTTATGTTAATCTTTGTTTTTTTTTCCTTCTATCAGCTTTTTTAATGTAATTCTTTGTATTAAGCATTCTATCACTTTCTCTTTCTGTCTTTCCTTATGTTATTCTTTGTTTCTTCCCTTCTATTCTTATGTTATTCTTTGTTTTTTCCTTCTATCACCTTCTCTTATGTTATTCTTTATTTTTATAATTCTATCACTTTCTCTTTCTGTCTTTCCTTATGTTATTCTTTGTTTCTTCCTTTTTTATTCTCATGTTAATCTTTGTTCTTTTCCTTCTATCACAGTTTCTTATGTTATTCTTTGTTTTAATCATTCTATCACTTTCTCTTTCTGTCTTTCCTTATGCTATTCTTTGTTTCTTCCTTCTATCACCTTCTCTTATGTTATTCTTTGTTTTTATAATTCTATCACTTTCTCTTTTGTTATTCTTTGTTTCTTCCTTCTATTCTTAAGTTAATCTTTGTTTTTTTCCTTCTATCAGCTTTTTTAATGTAATTCTTTGTTTTAAGCATTCTATCACTTTCTCTTTCTGTCTTTCCTTATGTTAATCTTTGTTCTTTTCCTTCTATCAGCTTTTTAAATGTAATTCTTTGTTTTAAGCATTCTATCACTTTCTCTTTCTGTCTTTCCTTATGTTATTCTTTGTTCCTTCCTTCTATCACCTTCTCTTATGTTATCTTTGTTTTTATAATTCTATCACTTTCTCTTATGTTATTCTTTGTTTCAATCATTCTATCACTTTCTCTTTCTGTCTTTCCTTATGTTTTTTTTGTTTCTTCCTTCCATCACCTTCTCATTCTTTGTTTTATTATTGAAATCTATGCTCAAAACAGCAGTCGACAGTCGGCCGTAAACAATTCCAAAAAGCGCGCGCCGAAGTTGACCTATACTTCCTGGGTCAAACTGCGAGTGTGATCCGCAGTGGCTGGGCTCGAAATGAGCTAGAATCAGCGTTGATGAAAAATCGCTTGAACGCTAACCGCAGTGACCTTGTTTTTTGTAACGGCGTTTTGATTTGTGATTCATGTTTGTGATTCTAGCTTCGAAAATTCGATTGAACGCACCCTGAGTCACGTCTTTCGGATGGTGACGTCGGTCCCCATACGTATATAATCATATCTGATTGATACACGTCTGTAAAAACCAAATACGCACACACCCACGGCATGGTGTTGCGTAGACTCTGTTGTTATGTGCAGCTTCTTTCCATAAATTTGCCCCTGCTGGCTCCATCCTAAACATTTACTATTAAACAGACATCGTGTTGTCGTGTGATAAGCAGATGACACACTGATAACACCCTATCCATACCCATATATTTCTGTATAAAAGTATAATTTCTTGAATTGTCAAAAAATTACCACCTTTGAAGCCAATGACTCCTGACATACGATATCAAAAGGGGTATCGTGTCTTTCCTCCAATGTGAACAGCATTCGGGTTTGGGTTTATTTTTTGCAGACTGTACAAAATTGTTATGAGTTATCAAATAAATAAGTTATTTGCTGAATCTCCATTAAATACAAAAATATAGGGCAATTTTATTTGACGGTTTGCTGATTATAGTCAAAATGTGTCAACCTACCTGCCATGAGTATATGGATGCTTTCCTTGAACAAACCGAAGAGAGTGCCTAGTACGATGACCCGAAGATAATGGTTAGAATCGGATCCAGAATTTTAAGCTCAGGCTAAAAGTAGGTGAAAGAGAAAATAATACCAAAATGAGAGTGCGAAAGTAGTCGTGTTCCCCTTCCTTATATACATGTACCTGCTTGTAAGAGATGGAAATGGGCGATCTTACATGGCGATATACTGAATGATTATCTTCTTGTTTCTTTTATTTATTTATTTATTTATTTATTTCTGATATTTATACAGGGTGGCACATATCACCAATTTGGTGGTCTTCCATGAGGCCCTCTTTCGTTCTAAATTGACTGTGCGTGCCATGGATTATTGTTATGTTTCTGAGCGCAGATTTACTTCCTATCGCATGAAAAGTTAAGAAGAATATATAGGATTTTGGTATCAAATGAAGTCGCTTCCGGAATTAAACACTGAATTTGGCATTTTTATGTGTGAACTCTTAGCAATTTCAACAACAAAGGCCGTGAAAGTGATCGAAAGTTATCTGTTCTTTAGACATTTTGTTGGACAGCGAGGAAAAGTCATTTTCAAATTGAATAGCGTTTCCCATGTAGAATTGCCCGATCGGTAAATGTGTGACGATTTGGCCGTGTAAATAATGTGAAAGAATACACTTGCCAAATACGTGTGTCTACTGTCTACCGTTACTGATGAAATCTGGTGTAAATAGGTAAAAATTAAATCCAAATTGAGGTTAAATGTCACCTCTGTCTTCATTAAAGCGCATCGCACTATAATCCCAAAGCTTGTGGAAAAAGATTTCAGGAAAGAGGCGAGCCCCCGCCCCCTCCCCCCATTCATTGTTATTTAGGGTACGCATATGCATGTTCCCTCCTTTTGAAAACACCCCCCTAAGTCCGGTGTGTAAATTCAATACGGGCCGGATTTTTGTGTACAACGAGCCGGACTTTGGTGCGTGAAAAGTACCCCTTTACCGAACTTTGGGAACACGCATGGTATCCCTCCGTTCACGGAGTAAAGGGCCGGGGGCGAGACGCGACACTTACCTTAAAATAGATGATCAAGGCGGCCACAAGAAGCCCAAACCCGAAAGAGAGTCGCCAAATATGTGCAGACATGCGGCTCGTACATTCATGTGATTGTTTATCTCATCATCCTTGCTCCCACCGCCGAAAAGGGAGCCATGGCTGTGCCCGTGCCCGCCCCCATGGCTGTGCCCGTGCCCGCTGGCAAGAAGACCTTCCTCCTCCTCGCCACATAGATTTGCACAGCAGCAGAACCCGAACTGGAGCTGGATAATTTGTCTGAGATAAAATGGGAATACTGGAGTCACAGACCAGACTGCGCCAGAACCTTTTTGAACACTTCGATTTTAGTTTTTTTTTTCTATTTCGACCCCATCGAAAAAGGTATTCATTCTTCAGTCACATTGTCGTGAGTATATATATTTTTTATTCTATAAGATATAGCAAACAACGTAAAAATTATATGAAAAGGAAACGTGGTGTGAAGAATGTGAATAAATACGCTATGGAAGCAGTGTAAACAGTGTGAAAACTTTGTAAAACCAGTACACAGTATTTAAATATATATATATATATATATATATATATATATATATATATATATATATATATATATTTATCTTTAAAAAGAAGGTAACCCAGTCAGCAAATAGATACTGGTTTTCGTTGGGGCCCTTCATAATACAAACAAGTATATACATTTCAACAAATCAAAAATATAAATAAATATAGAAAATTACAAAATACGACTTGAACAAATGAAACCAAAATCGCAAACCAGGTTATAAATAGAGGATTTGAACATAGAGAATAACGAAATGAGTAATGTGTATATGTTGATCAAAAAGAAAACCAGACATTATCTCTTCGAGAGATCGTGATAGAGAATCGATGTTGTTTGGACACATATCACAGTTTAAGTCTCCAAGTAATATAATTTCTACATCTGTAATTTGACGACGAATTGGGAGGTCTGTAGATGACACATATAAGAAGTGTTTTTGAATGTTTGGGCGATAATTTTACCCACAGAGCTTCAATATCGTCGCATATTATTTTCATAACGGCAACTTACGTCATCTTTTACGTATAGTGCCACACCCCCTCCATGTCGGTTGCGGTCTTTGCGGAAAATATTGTATTTTACAATGTCTATTTCAGAATGAGATACGATAGCATCGCATTTGGTTTCAGAGACAGCAACAACATGGAAAGGATTACTTTGAAGTACAATTTTAAGTTCAGATAACTTAGGTACAAGTGAATTTATACTAATGTGAGATATTTTTAAACCTGTTTTAGGAAGGCAGCTAAATAATTTATCTTGAGTTCCAAAGTACTTACAGGTGTGGGCCCAATTTACATCAGTTTGTGAGCCAGTTGAAGGAGTGTAATTTTATGTAAGACTGTGTTTAGAAGTAGAGTGTTATTGTCACAGGTAGTAGCATTAAGTGGTGAAAGCAGAATGAACATGTTGTGGTCACCGTGTTTTTGTTTTTGTCTACACCTCGACGATATTCTGAGTTCATTCTGTATACAGAACAAAATGGCGATATTCATCAACTGTTCTGGTCCAAGAACTCATGTTGGCTACAACGAATTTCTAAAGCTGGTTTTCTTGAAGTCAACCAAAGATCAAAACAACTCGTATTGCATCACGTGCATGAAATATACCATACTAGGTATAATCATTATATTCGATCCAACTTCGATCTTGTTACTAACTTACATGATTATAATACAAGAAATAGCCGCTTCAACTTTAACTTACATGTATTAGAAAGAGTAGGTAGTATTGGAAATTCGTTTTTATTACAATACCATAAAACATTGGAATTCCCTTCCTAATGGTATAAAGAAAATAGAAAACTATGCTCATTTTAAGAGGAAATTAAAGGAATACAATAATACTTGAGAGTCAGAGAAGAGAAGCGAATGACATGTTATATGATTGAAATTTTTATTCTTCTGCCGGTTCATACTTTTTCACTTTGTATCTACTTATGTTTTTGTACGTTATAGAAATTCTACAAACTCATCATTATTTTGCTCTTCTTCCTCCTCCTCCTCCTCCTCTTTTTCTTCTTGTACTTATTATCATTTCTATCATCGATTTAATGATGTTATTATTATTATCTTTATTAAGTTTTATTTTCTTGTCTTATTACTATTTAAACTTATTCATTTTGTACATGTTTGTCGGGGACCCCACTGGAAATAACTCTCGAGCTTTCGTGGTTTATCCTGTTCTAGTTGACTTAATTTTGATCTGTTATTCTTGTATATTGTTGTATGTTGGAAGCTTGGCGAATAAAAATCAATCAATCAATGAATCATAATGTGACACTCATATTTCGAGGAAAAAATTATGATTGATTCTACCAAATGTGGTCATAGCATATGGCACTGTGCCAGCTTAATAACAATAATGATAAATACAAAATTGAGTGTCAATAGAGTGTGAAAAAATGGTGAAAACAATCTGAAAACAGTATGAAAACATTATGAAAATATTGTGAAAACGGTTTTGAAAACAGCCTTGTATGAAACAATGTGAAAACAGTATGAACACAGAATGAAAACAGTATGAACACAGTGCAACACAGTATGAACACAGAACGAAACAGTACGAAAACAGTGTGAAAATAGCCTTGTATGAAACAATGTAAAAACAATGTGAAAACAGGATGAGAACAGAATGAAAACAGTATGAACACAGTGCAAACACAGTATCAACACAGTACGAAAACAGTACGAAACAGTGTGAAAATAGCCTTGTATGAAAACAATGTGAAAACAATGTGAAAACAGGATGAGAACAGTGTAAACACAGTTTGAACACGATGTAAACACAGTGTGAAAACAGTTTAAAAACTGTGTCAAAATAGTATGAAAAAATGTGATCTAAAACAGGATATGATGAATCAAACTCCAGGTCGAAGGCTATTTTCATTAGTATCCTATTTATCTATATCAATTACACAAAGCATAAATTCTATTTTAGTAAAGAGGACATAATCAATAGTAATAACGATTTGAAGAAGCGCAAGATTCATTTTGGAAAAGAGAGAGAGGAGTGGCAATATATTCTTGCAATCCTCTTGCTTAATCCTACGACACCACAGGTCATACGACACAATGGTATCGCTGAGTGAGTGGGCTTACAGTCAAATTCATACCTCTGACTAAGCAAATTAAGCTCATCAATTAACAGTGTGTTAAGTGAATTAAGCTTTACGTGTAACAACTTTACTCAGTTCTGTCGTCTGCGTGGGATGGGTTTGTTTCTATGGTTACAGCCTGCCTTCGTCGCGCTTCGTGCCACTGAGCATGCGCCGTATGAATAATTAACAAAGTGTTACGGTTGATGGGTTTTTTTTTTTTTAGATTGGCGTGCAGTTTAATTGCATGCAATGCACTTTATCAACTGCCTTGTTGTTATGTATATGCTTAATGCAAAAAAACCAATGACATAAATCTATAGAGTCATTGAGGGATGTTGTATCAACAGTAACTATGCAATTATCTATGACGAATCACTACAAATTCCCCAAATTCCATTTTTTTAAAAGTCTATATGATACCGCCCCTCAGAGATCGCGTCATGCATTCATAAGTGTTCATCCTTCTAAACAATTGCAAGGCAACGGAAGCTGACAAAGTTAACAGCATATTAACAGTGAGTAAGCATTGAATCAGCAACTATTTCTATGTGACAATACATTTGGTTAATAATATGCAGTAAAATATGATATGAAAGTACAAATAAATCTCGCTGCAGGGCATTAAAAAACAATCCTTTTCTATGATAATCTTTAAGATTAAAATGAAACAAAAGAAAGAAAGAAACTAAGAGGAAGCTCATAAATTATTCAATACTTTTACCATGTCTACCAGGGGGGTGTTTTCACAAAGAACCTAAGTTGAACTAATTTTTAAGTTGGACTATGGAAAGCCGTTAGCATCTTTGAACATATTTTGTAAAAGTTATTTTAAAGGCATAAAATGTTGATTCAAAATTTCAAATCATTCATATTTTCTATTATCAAGAGGATTTCATGTTCTTGATGTGGAATTTATGAAAAGTCTAAAATACCTCATTTTTTGCTTTTGAATATATTTTGTTTTAAGGCTACAAATGGCTCTCCATAATTTTTAAGTCCAACTTAGAGTTAATTTTCGACTTAGGATCTTTGTGAAACACCCCCCAGGGCTCATCCTTTTTTTTAACGATACATCCCAATGAGGTACTCACATGATATTTCCGACGAAGTTGATAACTCCGATGATGACCATAACCTGGCCATTGATATCGAAGTCACGGTTGGCGATCCTCAAAGCGGCAAAATAGGTGAGAACGACCGCGAGACAGATGGATAAGATGATAGAAAACAGGGCCCCAACGACCTCTAGAAATCAACAAGAATTTAGGTCAAAATTTAATGTAGCCCTAAACTTCGGACGAGGGGTAAAAGCATGTTTGATACAATCAAGAAAAACAATTTCAATGTAAAACGTAAACCTCGGATTAAAACTATAAGGAAATTATTGAGTGGATGGGATGTAAAAAAAAAACCTCGGTTATCGATTTTCACTGACAACAAAACTACATGAACTAACACCCCGTGGTTCTGACAGTATAGTGTTATTCGTGATGTTCGTTTTGGCTCTATTTAGCCAAATTATAGGTGATGAGACACTGCATCACAAACATTTATCCTTATAATTATATTTGCACGTGACAACACAATTGAAAAGTTCGAATGGACATCCCACTAATAGGCAGTTTATATTTTAAAAAAACCTCAAATGATATATACAATTTCTCATATTGAATAGACATCATTTGATTTGTTTTGTGGGGGGGGGGGGGGGGGATTTTTGATGGGTAAAAGTAGATGCATGCCAAAAAAAACTTGATTTAGAAAGAAATGATTGATATAAGAGAACGCAAAGGCTAACACCAAAGGAGGGGTGTCACGGGCACCTTCCCCCTTTCAAATAAATACAAATACTATAGGATCTCCCTAAAACACAGTTTCTTCAACAAATAAGTCTGTATATCTTACTTACCGGCACGTAGTAAACCGTAAGTGAACTTCTTGGAAGGGCGGTTTCTTTGCAAGCCAGATTGAGGTAAGACTGATGATGTAGGTGACAACATCAGTTAGAAGATGACCTGCGTCAGCCACGATGGCTAAACTTCCAGATAAAATACTACCTGAAGATGGAAGAAATGATTTTATAATGAAATGAAAAGAATTATTCAATGGAATGGCGTAAATATTCATAATTGAATAATACGCGCCGTTAAAACTCGAACAAGAGCAACAATAAACAACAACAACAACAATATGGCGGTTCGCCGATCTGGCCTATTACGAATGGACATTCATCGTTTCTGAACGAATTCATTGTGATTGTCTCCGTCAATGTCGTCTCAATAACATTCCGTACATGTTTCTTCACTTTGATCTCATGATGGTCACCGCCAATAAGCCGGGACAGAATCAAGATAGTGATTTTAAACATGTTAATCTACATGCGCAGAAGATAATAAATCGCTTAAATCATGGGAAATCGATGTGCAGTTCTGGTTTAATTTGAAATTGTTGTTCCGTGTACTGTATTCTATTTTTGAAAACATTTTATATTACCAGATAGGTTTTGTTGGATTGTTTGTGATTTGAAATCCCGTTTTCCCCCGATTTCCTCATAATATTCCAGAATTACAACGCACAGATCATGGCCTTCTAATTGTTTTATAAGGTCATTGGTGCGTGCAAAAGTGTGCAAATCAGTAATAATAAATTTCATATCACCAAAATCGTCTGCTTTTCAACTTTGCTGCTTCCCATTGGGGATGTTTTTATTGAAGATATACTCTTACAGAGCACACCATCCAAACAAAACCCAAGAGAGGGAAACTGCTCCTTTGCCAATGCCCGAAAATGCTTACGCAGTCGTTATTGTTAAAACAGCTGAATGTTCTCATTAAGATGCACATAATCAGAAGCGGTGACTATTATTGGATCAAAGAAAGAATCACGTTAAATGTCCATCCGTAATAGGTCCATGATCTGACGAAAGATACGATTCCTTTGACGGAACTTGTACTGCTACCATATTAATTCCTCTAAAGAAACTGTACGGCCCAGCTTCAAGATAACCACCTGGATTGTGAATAGTAACCGTATATTGGCAAAAACGATGTCTCGTGTGTAACGGATAGGTGAAGAATTAAATTACTCTAAAATGGGGATAGAGCGACTGCCAAAATAGACTATTTAGGTTGGCTCCACTAACTATACGAGAATACCGGCGAGAATTCCCCCCCCCCCCCACCAGTACCACCCTCCGGCAGGTTAAGGGTGGGAGGCATAGTCCTCTAGTGTGCCCCTCCCCCAATAGACCATTTTCGTAATAACCAAATCTAATGTCTAGAGTCTCTGTGAAGTGCCTCAATACAAATTATTTCATTCACCTGATAGGAATAATAGTATTTCAATAGACGGAATCCGAACTGCATACATTAAATGTTGCCAGGTAGGACAAACATAAATGGCTTGACCTACCTAGCAACACTTAGTATGCATTTTGCATTCTGACTATTGAAATACTATTAAGTCTTATCAGGTGAATGAAATACTTTGTATTGAGGCACTTCACAAAGACTTATGCAATACATTTGGTTACTTTACGAACATGGCCTATTAACTATATGCGAGAATGCCAGTGATCTCTCCCTCCCTTATTATGGACTTTTAGATTTACGTGGACTGATACGTGTGACGTCCATTCAAGGCAGTGCATTAAAAGGACGTCAATCGTAGCAATCCACGTTGTCGACGTGCAAATCTAAAAGTCCCTATTACAGTACCTCTACGACATGTAGTACATAAGAAGCACATCGTTCCTTACCTACAATTTCAGCTATCACGATAAGCATACAAAGACAGAGTGCGAAGATGAGTCTCGCCTTAGCTCCATTCAGTAGGGCCCCTCTTTTGGCGTTGATGGGGTTGTCCTTGTCCCCTTCGTCATCCTTCACAGCGCCATAGGAGGGCGTGGTCCGTTGCCGCCCCTTTTCCAATTCATCATGAGTATATCCCTGCCAACATGTAAAAAGGACATTATAAGAAACAGCCGCCTGTATAGTGATCTATTATATTATGTAATAAGCATACCACTTTTTCCGCTTCCCCGTGTAAGTCATGAGCAGTGCATGTACAAACATAATGGTACAAAGAAAGATGCATTGGAGAATAAGCCAGTTCACGGTTGCAGCCTGAGCATGAGCAGATAAAGGACGAAATACCGGATACGTGCTCATGAAAGTTATTTAATCATTATTCATTCATGTACAAGCAGGGAACTCCATGATACACAGGTGGAATTATTCTTTGAAAAGGGGAAACAAAGGCTATTTATACCAGTGGCGGATCCGGGGGGGGGGGTGGGGGGGCCCGGGGGCCCGGCCGCCGAATTTGCGATTCCCAACCATTCAGCTATGGGAAACATTTTGAGCAACGTGATTGGTTAAAAAAGTTATAAAGACACGCCCACATCGACGCGAGCCATCTCATCATGGCGGTGTGGAATGTGTCTGGATAATGGATAACAGGGGCCTGTATGTGCCTGTAGCTAGCTCGCGTGTGAAGTGCATTGTACCTAACAACATTGCGTATGTGCAGTCCTGAGTGTTTTGTTGAGCCTAGCCATGCATTGTTTGAACATAGAAAATAACACAAGTTACATGTAGATTTAGATGATAGATCTTTTAAGTTAGATACAAGTATGTTCTAATGAAAATAATATAGATATCGATTGGATGATTTTTTTATTTTTTTATTTTTTAGATCTATACCCTAGATCTATAGACCTATGATAACAATACAAAATGGAACATTATTTATTGGGGGAGGGGGGGGGGGAGTCTAACTTTGCTAGTCTAGATGTCTATGTATAAATGAGAGCTTGAGTCTGGGGGAAAGGGGGTTGCAGAGAGCCCCAGCAGTTGTTCTAATAATCAAGTTCGATGAAAGGATTAGGCATTACAAATTTCCAGTCAGAAATCCTCAAACAGATTAAAATGGTAAAACTAGAGAAAGTTTCCAAAATTAAATTATTTCATCTCGACTATACATGTAGATCTAGCCATGAGTATTGTTCATACAGGAGAGACTACAGGATATCACATTTTTGGTGGCTAATTCTTCTTAAAAGTGCATTAACAAACTGGCAAATGTAATTGTATTAATGATCTGAGTATAATTCCTTTCATTGCAGGATACTCTCCCATTGAGTATGAATACCATCTCTGCTCGTTACTGATACACACCTTCAGTAGCAGAATTCTAAGGCATCTGAGTAGTTTGCAGGCACATATACAGAGTCTGAATCGTGAGACTACAGTAGGCCATTTCATGTAGATAGACTTCCCTCAGACATGATATCTTTCGTAAAGTGTCAAATTAGAGTCTGTGCTTGCAGACTTACATTGTGAGTGTTTGTGTGTCTGTGTCAGCTGTGAGCGAGCCCGAGCGTGCAGTAAATGATGTAATATTTATTTCTTCTCTCGACCCATCACGTTGCTCATAAAGTCTCCCATAGCTGAATGGTTTGGGAATCGCAAATTCGCGCCCGCCCCCCCCCCTTGAGAAAAAAATCATGTATAATCACGTGATTTTTACCTTTTTGGGGGGTTGGGCCCCCCCCCCCTGGCGCTCAAGGGGGGGGGGGGGGGTGCAAATTGAAATGTTTTTGAGGATCAAAAAAAAAAAATGTGCTCTGTACCCCCCCCCCCCCCCCCCCCCCCCCCCCCCCACTGAGCGACTTTTCAGCCGGCGCGATTTTCAAATTTTCGGGAGCAAAAAAAAAAAAGTTGGGCCCCTCCCCTAAGAAATCCTGGATCCGCGCCTGATTTATACAGTGTGTCCCAGAAAAAAACGAACCGAGAAGTATCGATGTTTTATCATAACTTAATCACAGCCATTATTAATAAATGATACATATTTGGAAAGCTTAGAGTCTCCTCTTTCAGTTGATGCTACTCACGTGATGCATATTTCACGCATGAGTGATTAAAAGCAATTTGAAGAAAGGAAACCAAAAAGTAATTTGGCGGGCGGTATCTGAATTTCAAAGAAAAATTCATATTTCTAGAAAGTTGAGTTTCTGCTCTTTCATATGATACCTAAATCATGTATATGTATTTCATAAGTTGTATCAGATGTGTACCCTCTCTCTTCTTGACGGTTGGTTCAGATTTTTTCACCAAAGAATTTAAAATTAGTGTGTGTTTCTAATGACACATAATGCAAAAAGAAATTTATGATTATGTGATTTAATCAATCGGAACATGAGACACTGATTACTAGCTTTCATAAACCAAAATAATCAACGCAAAACAGACTTTAAGAACAAGTTTACATAGTAGGAAAACGAGATTTATTTGACACCCCCCCCCCCCCCCGTTTAATATATGTTTCCAGTAAGAAGTAAGTGGATCCTAAGGAAGTCCTCACGTTCTTACCAGTTACCCCTCCCCTCCCCCTCCATCTTCGAGGTTTAACGGTCAGGTAACTTGCCCTTGGGTCGTTTCTCACGACCACTATCAAAAAGGCTATTACTAAATCAACTCAAGGGCAAATTGTATTGTATTGCCTATAGAAATCATGTTGATATTGCGTAGGTATAATGCTTAACTCCTCACAATTCAAAATATGATTTACAATGCGATTGAAATGTCAAGGTATTGATTTCTCGAAAGTTTTAGTGATCGTGATTAAATCTTCGTTAACAAAATCTCGACTCCTTTCTAGATAAGCATAACGTCACATGCATACTAACATTTTAGAGTATTATGCACAAAGATACAGATAAGTTATGTCATTTCAAGTCCTGTATATATAAGTTGAGCTATCAACAGGAAAATGACTTTAAGACACACACGGTAAATGATATCTATAAATCACATTAGAACTGGCATCAATGTATATTTAAATTTAATACTCAAAACAATTGTTTTTTTTCTTCAAATACATTACCCTTGTGCGGCATCCACAGGTAAATAATCAGCCATGGTGGATACCTCCACACTGTATAACTAGTATGTTGAGTGAAGTCGCATTATGAATCGAACTATGACACATTTATTAATAACGAAACAAGATCCAGGGCTAACTGCCAAATTGGAACCACAATTTGAAACTTGATCGTCACGTATTAATGAGGATTCCTGAATTAGACACCGGTTCTCAAGCCTCTACTGTTTAAAGTGTGAGATTCGATGTGCATGTATAGTACATATGGTTCGGTTTGGTTCATTATCAGACTCAATAGTTCAACTGCTCTTATACTATAACTATTACCACACTTAATGATATTCTAGTTCAAAAGAAGATTCCTTCATTTTACATAGAGATCTTGCAAACAAGAGAGCTCAGTGGGCCTTTTTTTTTGGGGGGGGGGGGGGGTGGGGGTATTTTACAACCATGGCCCTCTGTGGCATACTCCGGTGACATACCATAAGTACACAGAAGAAAAATGTGCCCCTCCCCTTTTAAACGGTTCAGTGTAAAAATATCTGAGGTTAAAAGTGCAGAGGTAAAAAATGGCAGAGTAAAAATTGCAGGGGAATAACATGGCAGAGTATGATTGCCAGTGGTAACATTTTCAGCGGTAAAAATGCCAGAGGCACAATGTGTATAAACTCTTTAGCCACTGCTAATTTAGTTAGCTAATGAGGTTGAATATATTATGAGTTTAATGTTAATTTGTTGCATGTCTGTTATATTTTGAGGCTAATATTACCAGTATTTTGAACAGTTTGACTTGAAATGTAAAAAAATATGGGATTAAGAAATTGCCTTTATCTTGATTTCTTGAAAGTCCATCGATCGTGCCCACTCAAATTCCGTTTTTTTTTTTTGGGGGGGGGGAGCTTAAACACTGATAAAGGAATATTTATTTGGATGTATACGCCAATTAAAAATTAAGTAGAGAAGGGCTATAGCGTTCAGATATATATATATATATATATAAGTTGCAAAATGTGAGCAACTCGTATGAAATACACAATACCCCCCCCCCCCCACCTCCCCTTAATCAACTTTGTCACTGTCGAGCAATATTGTCATCATGCGATTCACTTGCCCATCTATTGATAGTATTATTAAGTATGGAGACAAACACGTCATACGACGAGAATCCATTTTTTGTTTCGCCTCGCAAGTTTGTTTTAATACCGCCATGAATAATTAATATCTCATCTCTTAATTGCACCCGTATTCCGTGCCATATAGCATGAGAGTAGACTGGCAGCATCCAACTCGTATAACGTATACAAAAAAGGCAGCACTTCGACTGACGTCTATTGTCTTTCCTGTCAAGGCTTGTTGATATAAATATGTAGACATGCGTGGAAGATGTATGATATTTAGATGCTGTATAGTAGACTTAAAGAGAAGATTGAGTTCTGGGAAGAGGTGAAATTATTTTGTGAGCGTTATCATTGTTATTATTATGCATTAGGCAAGTATTGAATCCAATGACCGGGATAGTAGTATATCTGTAAAGCGCTTAGAGACACCGTAGATGCATATAAGCGCTATATAGAAGCGGATTATTATTATTATTATTATGCAAGTGTGGAAAAACATATGACTAAAAATGTTCCCTAAAAAGCATGGCTCTTCATAATGCCCTAATATTCTAAATATGGCATGTAACATCATAAAAATCGAGACGGCTTTTTATTATACATGTTCGTGTAGTCCCATATACATATTTCTGTCTACAGTGCTTGTAACTTTACCAAGACTGGGCCAAATTTCTTATCATTTTGATGATTCCAGAACCTTGAAATAGACACCAATACTTATATGCTAGATCAGATGATCAACCTTTTCTGATCGATTCCACAACGTTTCTTTTACAAATCGCTTTGTGGTGTTATTTAACCGCTATATGGCGGTTCCGTGCAACGTGTGTCATACGAGATATGCATTTCCCCACATATATCATTACAAAAAGGAATTTATTCTCTTTATTGTCTTTTCATGGCGATTCAATAATGTTTCTATCTCGTATCACGAGCATTAGTCATAG